TCCCTAAGTAGGGAGCAAAGCAATTCCTAAAGAGGGCAGATCCGAGCGGGCGCCCGCTTATTCGCTATTGCCACCCGCCGCATGACTCCGAGACTCTATGTACTCATGTCAGGCATGAGAAAAGATGGATTTCAATGCTCCTGAAAGCTCTTAACCTTCCCCAAAGTGACAAAAAAAGTGACCCGTCCTCTTCTCCCATTACTGGTGGAGAGAGGATCCGGGCTGAGGCTGCTGCCAGCGCCCGCTGGGAGTGTGGGACAGCGATTCCATGGCTATTTGGGGGTGTCCTGCCCTTTCTGCATGGTGGGATCTCAAAGGGATCATCTTTTTTTCCATGCTCGTCTTTGCTGGGCTCTGCCAAATCGCCCTCTGCGGGGTCACCGCCATCCCGGCACGCCCTGCCCACGGCTGGCCCTTTGCCTTGGCAAAGAAGCCCCACGGGGATGCTGTTGGCAGCTTGTTCTCTTCCAAGGAAGTAAGTTGACCCCTCTCATGCTTCCCTTTCCTCTCCTGCTCGGAAGCTGCTGGATATTCACGGGCATAGGGGAGGAAAGGAAAAACCAGCCCACCACTGGGGTGCTGAGGGTGAAGAATTCCAGTCCCAGAGCTTGGCAGGAATCTTTCATTCCCAGAGGCGTGAGCTCCTCCTTTCCTCTCTCACCCAACACCTTCTGATCCCTGCTTTGAGGGGGAGTGAGTGTGTTGGTGTGCTTCCAACTGGAAGTGGATGGGATAGTATCTCCATGCAGAGCTGTTAAACTCATTTTCCAGGCAATTCCTTGTATGGCCCCCAAGAAGTCAAGTGCCAGGAGGGTTTTAGGAGTGGGGAATTACATGAGGAATAAAACCTGCAAGCTGCTCCTCAGGCAATGCAAGCAAATCCTTCTCTTACCAGCAGCTCCTTGACGGGGAGTTGCTCCATCCCTCTATCCCGAGGGGAATCCAGCACCACTGGGAAGCACTTCTGGGGAGCGTGGGTGTAGCCAAACTCAATCTCATCCTGAAGAAGGGAGGAAATCCCGCATGGGGCACAGGAAGGAAAAGCTTTTCCCTGCCTCTGGAGCCCCCCTACCTGCATCCAGCGATCCCCACGGTTGGTGTATCCGAAGCAAACCTTCAGCTTGCAGCCAGCCTTGGTCACCAGTGTCTGGATCTCCTTGGTGAACAGGTAGTTGTCCTTCATGCTGGGAAAGGGGATGGCAGGAGGGAAGGAGATGAAGGGTGGATATTGCCTCTGCCCAGCCTGTCTCCAGGACTGGTTTGGCTGGGAATGCCCTCCCTGGCCTCACCTGCAGAGGAAGACGTTCACCGGCGCCAAGGTGTTGGGGGTCATGATCCACGGGGCCACCCGGAACACCACTGTGTCTGTGAAGGCTGGAGTGTGGGGGATACCCTGAGGGAGCAGGCGGGAGTCAGGGTCTGTCCACACACTATTCCCCCCAAATGCCCTTCCACTGAGGTCTTTTTTGGGGTTAATTAATGAGGATCACTCTCCATTCCCTCCCCATCCCCTTCTCTGCGATAGCTGCAACAAGGGACCCCATCTGCATCCCTTCCCTGGAGCTCCCAGACCTCTGCCAGCGTCTCCAGGAGGCTGACATGGATGGAGACCAGCCCGGAGAAGGAATCATTGGGAAAGCAGAGCCCCTGGACGAAGAAGTCGAGCTCGGCAGCCCCGCCGGGGTAGGACACGGCGTGGAACAGCTTCCTGCAGCCCAGCACCTGCACATAGCGCTGCCCAAAGAAGGGATCTGCAAGGAAACAGAGAAAATGGGACAATTCCAAGCTTTCATTGGTGTTCCAAGCCTATTTCCTTGTGCAAGGAGGACTCACAGTCCCTCTGTGCTGGAGTTTTTCCACCTCTGTGGAGATACAACTTTGTTTGAACCACCTCGAAACATGATGGAAGGATTTCGCAATTTTGTCATGGACATTGAGTATGAGGAAAAATATCTTGGCCTTTCCTTGGATGGAGCGGCCACTGGGAAGGCATTTTCATGGAGTTTCTGCTCATCTATGGGATGAAAATGCCACCAGACTGACAGGGAGGGAAGGCAGAGAAGAAAGGGGCAGAGGAGGAAGAGGAAGAAGAGGAAGGGGCAGATAAGGCAGAGGAGGAAGGGGCAGAAGAGGAGGAGGCAGAGGAGGAGGGGAGGAAGGACTTACTCTGCACATGGAACACCCCAACCCTGTCAGCGTCACGGACAGAAACAGAGAGAATGATTTCGTATCCCCGGGGCAGGCGCTGGGGCCCCTCCATCCTCAGCACCATCTGGGCCATGTCCTCCAAATCTGGGGGGCAAACAACAAAATTAGGAGATGTCTTATATGCTCCCTCCTGGAGTTTGCACCTCCTTCCCAAGAAAGCTGCTCTTCCCTTGCCACCACCCTTCGCAACCTGGAAAAACAAGCCCTGCTCCTGCTGGCAAAGCTCGTGCCTTGTGCTGGGAAACAAATGCCCTTTTTAGCTTTTATTTTCCCTCCTCACCCCTGGCACGGCCCGTCCTTGACCTCAGAAACCTGATGGGCACCGGCTCCATGTGGTTTTAGTTTTCCAGGAACAGGTGGGTGTATTCCCGGCTACCTCATCCCGAACTCCTTTCACCTGCGTGAGGCAGCCCTGGTGATTTTTCAGGCTCAGCTTCACTACTCTGCGTGGCCACAAATGCTTTGTGTGTTATGAAATGCAAAAAAATTCCCACATGGGAAGCATGTCCAACAGCTGGTGGAGAGCAGCTGGTTTCTGAGCAAAATTCTGCCCCAAAAAACGTTCAAGAGGGGGAATCATGGAGGATTTTTGGGAAGCTCTGTTACCTTCTTTGTTGAACACTTGCTCGTTGTCGCAGTCGGATGCCGGAGCGGAGGGAATCTCCTTGTCACAGCCGACCAGCAGGATGGCCCCGTGTCCCTCAGGACCCCAGCTCCAGCTGGCCTACAACAGCCCGCTGAGGCTCAGCAAACTCAGCCTCAGGCAGGCCCGTGGATTTTCCATGTGGAGGGAGAGGGGTTACCTTGTTGGGGCTGTTCCTCTCCACCACGCCGTCCTGGTCCGCGTCGACGTCCAGGGAGATCCCTGGATGGACAGGATGGGTTTCACCCACCCATCATCCCAGGGCATGGCAAGGTTGGGTGGGAGAAAAAGCCCCCCAGACCTGGCAAACGTGGGTCTACCTGTCCCCCCACCCGCCCAAGGGATCAATGGGATGAGGATGGATTGTTGCACCCAGGAGCCTCCGTACTCACCGATGCCAGTGAGGAAGACTCCAGCTTGGGTGATGGGCTTCCCTTCCCCTCCATAAAAGCTGACAGTGACCTGCAAACCCCCAGATCCCCGATTGGGAAAGGATGTTCTCCATCCGTGGAGGTCCCACACCGCAATGTCCCATCCCTCACCTTGTTGTCGTTGACCTCGGTGCTGGGCTGGCTCATGCTGAACCTCAGGACCGTCCCCTCCTGCAGCGGCCACCGCGTCCCACTGCCGGGCACCGGCTCGGCCTCGTCGCGGCCCCGGGACACCACATCCACACTGACCCCCTCCGTGTGCTTCACCCCGAAGGAAACCGCCCCGGCTGGGGCCGCCCTGCCAGAAACACTCTGTGTTTGGAGAGGTTTGCACCCAAAACACTCGGTTCTCACCGCAATTAATTCCACGGCCAAGACCGGGCATGCCGGCGTCACCACGCTCACCACCGGCTCCTGCTGCCCTTTCCTGCCTCCCTGGGAGTTTGAGCTGTCCTTTGCTTTTAGGGCAGAAGATGCTGTTTTAGCACAAGGAGTATTTGAGCCAGTGCAGATTAGGATCTATAATAATCCCAACCAAGCTGCTGGAATTGAACTTGGGTTTAATGCCCTTCAGTGGAGAAATCCCTGTTTATTTTCCAGCCGGTGTTTGACAGCTCATCACGGCACTGTGGCCACTCCACTGAGACACTTTTCCATGGGAAACTCTAGGGGGGCTGATTTTATCCAACCAATTCGGGGGTGATTTTATCCAACCCCAAAGCTGATGGTGCTGCCCCACTCCCAGTCCCATATGCCCTTTCTCTTCCCCAGCCACTCCGAGCAACCCCTTCCCCTCTTCTGGCTCCTTTCACCGAATTTCTGCTTCCCAGCAAAAGATGCTGGTTTAGCACATCGGTATTTGTAGCCATTGGTGCAGATTAGGATCTCTAATAATCCCAGTCTAATTGGTGCTGCTGGAATTGAACTTGGGCTTGCACTTCAATGGAGAAATCCCTGTTTACTTTCCAGCCTGGGCAAACCCGGTGTTTACCAGCTCATCACAACACTGAGAGACTTTTCCATGGGAAACTCTAATTTGGGGCTGATTTTATCCAGCTAATTTGGGGGTGATTTTATCCAACCCTAAAGCTGTTGGTGCTGCACCGCTCCCAGTCCAGGGTGCCCTTGCTCCTCCCCAGCCACGCCGTGCAACCCCTTCCCCTCTCCTGGCTCCTTTTCCCGAATTTCCCAGTCTTTCTAGGTTATTATTTTTGGGCTGTTTGCCCCGACACCCGAGAGCTGGTGCCGGATCCCCGTTACGGCTTCATTGCTCAGATGGTTTCTGGATGCCGACGGTCCCACCAAACCTGCCCCGTCGGGGAGGGGGGAGGGAGGAAACCTGAGCACTCCTTTACTCCTGCCTGGGTGTCTCTGAAATTGTTAAATTACTTTTAATTATACATGGAAAAACTGGTTCAGTTTCCTTGTTTCTTGGTTTTGGGAATCCCACCAGGAATTTGACCTGGAGAGGTGCCAGGGGAGTCGTAACTCTGCTGCTTGGCTTGAATATCAAGGGTGAGATTTGCAAAAGCAGCAAAGACCAGAATTAACCCCCAAATGAGCTTTAAAACTTTTTTCTCTTCCCCTTGGGGGGGAATAATTATCCTGAAATTTAACATTGGGGTTGTTTTAGGGAAGGTGGTGTGGGGATTTCCCACTTTCCCAAGACACGTTTTTTCGCTAAATCTTGTTTTCCTTCCCTCTCCCAGCTGCATCCCTTCCTTTGCAGTCCATCCCTGTGGCTCCTGCTCATCCCTCCACTCTCCAGCAGCATTCCGAGATGACACCGGATCAAACCCAGCATGGACTCGGGGTAAACACTGCATTGTGGAGATGGGGATGCTCGAAGCTTTCCCGGGATTTGCGCAGCCTTGCAAAGCCCAGGGGGGATTTTGCCCACAAAAAGGCGTCGGGGCCACGGGGTTTGGGAAAGCAGGCAGGAAAACGAGGAGGGGGATTTGCAGGAGGGGTGAAGGTGAGAAGGGAGGCAGAGGGAAGGCTGGGGTGTCCCACTCACCCATGGACATCAGCGTGGATGCGGGAGCCCAGCACGCACAGGGCCTCGATGCGGTCCCCGGGCTGCAGCCGCAGCGTGCGGCCCCCCGGCATCTCCCGGCCCCCCGGCATCTCCCGGCACTGCCCCGGCAGCACCGACCCCCGGCACCCAGCCCCTGCTCCTCCTCGGAGCACAACCCGGCTCTGCTGGGCTGAGGATGACACTCTGCAGCCCAAAGGCAGGGGGAGGCTGGATTGGACCCTCTAAAGCCTCGGGAAGATGATCTCCGAGGGGAGGGAAGGGATGGAGAGGGAGGGCAGCTGGCCTGGAGCCTGCTCAGCTCCCAACGCTATGCAAGGAGCTCCCCCAGCTGTCCCCAAATCCCTCCACCCTCTCCGTGACCCCAAACGGGAATCACCGACGTGGGGGCGATTTTCCAGCAGTTTGGATTTTGGCGTATCCGCCCTTTTTTTGCTCTCTAGGGAAAATCTCTGGCTGCTCTTAGGAGGCAGAAACACGGTTTTCCAGCCCTCAGGCGAGAGCAGAACTCTCCCTTTTTTCCCCCTGCTCATTTTCAAAGGGAAACTGGGAACCAGTTGCTGCTGAAGGGAAATCAGGGTGGTTTTGCCACCCCACAGAGCACGGCAGGAGCAATTGCTGCCCACACAGCATTTGAATTATTTATTACCATCCAACTAAATATTCATTTCAGAACCCAAACTTCTGCCCCAGATTTTGGAAGCCACAAGCAATTAGTGACAAGCAGAAACGTTCAGGGTGATGTTCCCTATTTATATCCCTCTTGGGCTTCTCTTTTCCAGTCCTCGCTGGCCGCGGTGCAGGGAATCAGCTCAAATTCAGTTTTCCAGCTGAAAGAAATCCTGGCTTGGGTTTGTTTTGGTTTTTGGGTTTTTTTGCCACGACCTGAGCAAATGTGAGCGAGGACTTTGCTGAGCACACAAAAAAGACGCAGTTTTGCCACTTTTCTGCATATGCAAAAATGAGATTTGGGGCAACAGGGAGACTTTCTCAAACAGTATAAATGTTCTCCCTGAGCAATATGAGAAAATAGAACACACTTTGCTCCCAGGCTATGCAAAAACATTGGGAATTTGGGTGAAATGACCCCTAGCTTAGACATCCCAGTCCAGGATTTGCCCTGGAATATGTTCCATCTCCCAAAAAGCATCTGGTTTGTCTGTGTGACCCTCGTCTGTTTAAACCACCAGGAGAAACAAACACTCCTGAAAGAGGAACCAGAAAGAGAAATAATTTAAAAAGAGAAAAAATAGAAAGAAACCAAAACCACCTCGTGTTTGCACCAGCAGGCTCTGCTGTCCAGCACTGCAGGAAACTTGTTTTCCCTCTTTTTACCCCAAAACAGCTGGAATTGCATGGTCAGGGATGACCTCACCTCCCTGCGATCTGTGGGCTGGGAAAATAGAGGTGTAAAATCATCAATTTGGAAGAAAATTAGTAGAAAACCAGCTTCTCTTTCATAATTTTCACTTCCCAATTCCTGTCCCCCCTGAATCTGGTATTTCAGTTGTCAGGGAAGAGAACAAATGTGATTTAAATCCTCCTTTGCTTAAAAAAACCCAACCCAACACAACCCCAAATCCCTCCCATCTCATAAAGGGGTTTCAGCATCACTTGGGAATTTTAAAATCAGTAGGATTTTGAGATGGTTTGTTTTAGTAATTGATATGTTAATGTATTTGTAGCCCTCTTGGTGTGACAGTGCTGGAATTTGCCAGCCCCTGGAATTTGCCAAGCAGAAGGAAAATTGTGATCCCATGGGAGCAAGTGTTACCTGCTAACAAAGATGGGATTGAAACCCTGGGGGTTCTGGGAGTTTTTGGGTCACTCTGAGGGATTTTTGGGCTTGTTTGTGCTTCCCTGGGAGGAGGCAACAAAACAAAATAGAGGAAAATGCCCTGTTTGAGGGCAAAACCAAAGGAGGAGCTGCTGGATTGAGTGGGAAAGGGGCTGGAAGAGCCCATTTCTCCTCCACTGCACTGGTTCCTGTCTTTGGGGGTTTTTGGCAGCCAGGTTTGCTCTTCAGAAGCCATGTGGGGTCTTTGGAAGCTTCTTGGGATCTTGGAAAGCCTTTGGGGGGGGTCTTTAAAATCTTCTCAGAGTCTTTGCAACCCTTCTGGGGTCTCCTAAAGCTTCCCAGTGACTTACAACCCTTTGGGATTCTTTGCCAGCCATGCAAGGTCTTTGTAGGCTTTCTAAGGTCTTTGCATGGCTTTGGGGTCTCTTAAAGCTTTTTTGGGGTCTTTGGGAGCCTTTGTGGCTCTAAAGTGTTCTCAGAGCCTTTACAGCTCTGCTGAGGTCTCCTAAAGCTTCCCCAGGACTTTACAACCCTTTTTCTTTACCACCTGTTCAGGACCTTTCAAAGCTCCTTTAGGATCTTTACAAGGCTTTTGGGGGTCTTTCAAAGCTTCTTGGGATCTTTGCAAGCCTCTGGAGGTGTTCACGGAGCTGCTGGTGTTGGGAACAGGCGCGAGGACCTGCCTGATCCGTCTCAGTGAAATCCTGGGTGACTCTATCCATGGTTTGTTAAATCAGCCTCAGTTTGTGCTGCCAGAACGGGGGTTTTCAGGAGGCAAAAGTGCCTTTAGCGCTGCAGCTCCGCTCTGGGCTATCAGGTGGGAGATCAGCAGCCTCCTAGGACACAGAGATCCATGGATATCTGCAGGGAGGTGTCTGGAGGCTTGTGGTTCCCTGGCTGTGGTCAGGCTGGTCAGAGGAGTTCTCTGGGTCCGTCTTAAGATCAGATCAGCCAGATTAGGAGCTGCTCTGCATGAGCTTCTCTGCTGCTGGGGGAGCTCTGCCTGCCCTCCTTTCCAGCACCTGGGAACAGATCCCAGCTCTGGGGCTTGCAAACAGCCCCACGGAGCTGATTCCGGAGGGTTTTCCCTGAGGAGCACCCGGAGGTGGGTCCCTGAGGGGATCACACCCGGGGGGGCTGGATCAGGAATTTTGGGGTCATTCTGTGGCACCCTCGTGTAGGCACGAGCCTTATTCCAACGAGTAGGAGGGAAATGTTCCCCCATGGAGTCCTTCCAAGCTGACCTTTCATGTTTAGGAGGTGCAAACAGGTGCCCATCCCGAGAGAGCCACGAGGCGCTGCCTGTTCCTGCCCATTCTGGCCCGGAATTTGGGAAGAGGCAGCTCCGAGGAGGCCAAACCAACGCACTGGGGAGGATGAAGGCAAAGCTGAGCCCACCCCTGGCATTGCTGCTGCCTCTGGAGGTCTTTGCAACACGCCCTGGAGAGGGGGGTGTTTATAGGGATATTTATAGGGCAGCCAATTGAATGCAAAGCTGGGGCAGAGCGTGGGCAGGGTGAGCACAGGGGGACATGCACAGCTCCAGCCCCGGGGAAAAGCAGTTTTATGGGATGCTTTGCTCCTGGATTATGGTATGGAGCCTCCCTGCAGGCAGACGCCTGCGTTTTGTGGAGGAGAAAGGACAGAGGGGGATTTTTGGGGCTTTCTGGTTGCAAAGCTGGGAGATTTTCCAGGATTGGCACCAAAAAGCTCTTTTTACCGGTCCAAACCAGCACCTCCCCATTATTCCCTGGCTTCCAGCTGGGATGGGGAATGCTTGGTGGCTGTCTGGGATGCTCCAGCCCTGCTGTTACAGCTATGTGCCTAAAGAAAATAAACCCTCCTGCAAACCCCAGCGGGACTTGATAACTGGTTTGATGTCTTGCCCTATTGCAAGTAATTAGGCTGACATGGCTCTTAAAAGTTCCTGCCTGCAATTAGACATGCAGAGTAATAAATAAGGGGTAATTATCGGCTTAGGGAGATTATCAAACTTTCCTTGACGGAGTGGTGGTGCAGGATGGGTGAGAAGAAACGCCCCAGAGGGATCTGAGCTATTAATGGGATTCCTGGGGCAGCACTGAGGGGGGTCAGGTCTGGCTCAGTCGTGGCTAAAACCAGGCTGATGTTGGGCAAAAGCCAAAGTCAGGCCCAAAAGCAGGCGGGCCGAGCTCCTGCAGTTTGATGGACAGGCAGGATCCCGTCTGTCATGTCCCAGGGATCTTAATGGCAACTTTCTCAGGACAAGGTGTTATTAGGAAGAAACACTCAGCTCTGAATGGGCCCGATGACTTAAAATGCTCATTCTGCCTGTGCATGGGCATGTCGGGCTAATAGCAGGTGGAGGAGGAACAGGAGGGGAGTGGAGGTCCCACCCAACCCAGACGAGGTGTTTGGGGCCTGCCCGAGCCTCCGCAGGGATCGTGGCGGCTCCGAACGCCCGGGACTGACCATGCTGGAAAAATCCACCCAGACCCGACGGGGATGGGAGCTCTGGGCTCTGGGCTCTGCGTGTCCATCCCTCCTGCACGGGGGTGATCCCAGGGGGATTTGGAGAAACACTCTCTGCTGAAGGCCCTGGTGCTCACTGGGAGCCCAAAACCACCGTCCTCCCCCTCCCTGCAGATTACAGACCACGCCGGCCTGACCCTGTGGGGATTAAGGTGTGTTCCCTGTCCGGCACCGGGAACCAGCCGAGCAGGATACGGGGCTCCAATCCCAGCAGGCAGCAAACTCAGCACCGTGCCCAGTCCAAACCAGTGCGACCAGCAGCCACGAGTGGGGAGCCCAACCTGCAGCTCCCTTCAGGAGAGATGCTGCCGTGGCCAAACTCGTCCTCAGAGGATGCTCTGGGAGCTCCTCACTCGCTTTTCCAGCTCTGCTTCTGCCCAGCTCCAAGTTTTGGGGATACACAAGGTCCTTGAGAACCAACACAATTCCCAAATCTAGGAACACCAGGAATTTGGATTGGGCTGGTGTTTGGAAAATGGGGTTTTATCTGAAATCTTTGGCAGGGAGAACTCTGGGAGAGCCCGGAAACTCCGCCGGTGTTCCCCACCGGAGCATCCTGCCGCTCCTCCAGGCTCCCACAGGCTTATTAAAGCCGTTCTCGCATCTGAGACACAGAGCTGGGGTTTTGTTGCTGCAATTAAAGTTGGAGGGAGCCCTTTAATGTGTCCTGGCTGGGAGATGTGTAAAGCAGCCGGTTTGATCTCCCAAGGGAACGGCGGCTCCTCCGGCTGAGCACGCGCTGCTCACTGCCCTGCCGGGGACGGGGCCCCCAACTCTGCTGAGCTCACTTGGACCTTCCCAGCTCCCAGGGGGTCCTGCCACTCCCAAATCCAGGTTTCTCCTGATTCCTACCCATTGCATCCCTAAGCTGAACACATCCCCACATGAGGATGAACCACGTGGCAATGGGACACTCTCGGTCCCTGTGTTGCCTTTTCCTCCATCTCAGCTCCATCCTCCAGACCTCCTTCCCACCTCAACGAGATTAATCTTGCCTGGCTTCCTCTTTGCAGGCAGGCAAATCCTCCTGGGATGGCCTGGAGAGAGATGGCTATCTCCAGCAATGCCACCTTCCAGTGGAGGGGATGATTCCCGTGGGATCTTTGCCCAAAAAATCCCAATCCCCTGAAACACAAGGTCCAAGTGAAACACTGACAACTTTTAATTTCCATGGGAAGCCTCCTGTTGGTTTGCTGTTTGTTGTTTTCCCCTTCCTTGCCAAACAAGCAGTTTTCCCTGTGCCCGTTTCTGCCCCTCTCCCGTCCTCGAGACTCCTTCTGATGGGAAGGAGCGACCTGAGCAAACATTTCCTTTAGTCCAGCTTTGTTCAGGCTTTGCCCCGATGCTGCAGCTGAGGCCGTGAGTCACCTGTGCAGAGGCCACACGGAAAATTTGGGTTGTTTTAAAGAAAAAGCTTCATTTCAATGATAATATTGTAATAACCCCAAACAAGCCCGTCGTGCTGCCAGAGGAGTAACACATGTTTAATGCATTAGAGCCTCGAAGGGTTTAGATGGAGCCGTAAAGGAATGAAAAGGGGGAGAAGGAATCCCTAAAAGCTCAGTGCCGAGCATCCCAGGGCAGGGCTGGGTGTCACCTCTGCCCCGTGTCCCCTCCCCGGGGCCGCCCTATCGCCTCCATCTCCCCAAGCGGGGCGGCAGCTCGTTGGGTGCTGGAGGTGCTGGAGGTGGAGACGGCAGGGTCCCCTGGCCGAGCCCCGTCATCGAGGGAAGGAGGAGTTAAATTCCCCTGCCTTTTAATCCAGTCCTGCTGGTTTCCCTGCAAAGCCAGGCAGCAGCTTCCCTCCCATGCAGCCGCCGTGCCCGGCACACCATGCCCCAGCGTCACGTCATGCAGATGTCCACCAGCCACGCCACCTACGGCGTCTGCGTGCTGGGCACCGAGGTCTTCCTCGACACGCGCCGGTAAGGTCGGGCCGGGGGATTCCCGCCATTTTCCGTAAGGCTGGTGGGGTTTGGAGGAGCCCAGCGGTGTTTTGGAGCAGTGAGGAAAGCTCAGAGCTCATTCAGAGCCCACAGCAGGAGCTCACCCAGCACTCGGAGGGCCGTGTCCCACCGGGCGTGTTCCAGGGGGATGTGCCCCAGGGAAGGATGTTGGCTCTGGCGAGGTGTCGAAGTGTTACCGAGCCGTGACGCTTTGGAGGCAAAGCCCGAGCACACCCTGGCTAAACCCGGATCTATTTCTGGCTGGGAAAACATTGGGCAAGAGCAATTCAAGCTCAGCAACTTGGAGCTAAAACGGGCTAAAGGATAAAATGCGTGGCTCAGGCAGAAAAAATCCACCGGCAGGTTTTGCACGGGCAATTCCAGGAGAGGAGATTCTTCCGGAATTAAATACAGGGGTTGGTTTATTGGTCAGATACGAGGCTGTGTTTACCCTGCTGTTACAGGGTCATTATTTAATAAATCAGTTTTGTAATGATACAAACAGGACGAGTCAGTCGGCATCGCAGCAATTATTGGGGTTGTGTGTTGGAGCCGGGCCATCGTCCCCCTCCAAGGGCTTTGCACTGAACTTTGCCTGCCCTAAAAGAGTCTTATTTTCTCCCTCATCCAGATGGGAATATATAAAACCTATTTGCAAGTTTTTTCCTGGTTTAGGACTCAAAACACACTCAGATCTATTTAAACATGAGGCCTGAGCCCCAAAATGGGCTGATTTGGCTCCTCTGTAGCAAATTTGAGCTTTGGACCAAAAAAGCAGATGGTGGATGCTTTTTCCACTAAAAAAATGGAATCATTTTATTCCGGGACAGCACCAGCTGGGGGGAACTTGGTGATTGATGCATCAAGTTTTGACTGTGGCTTGGGCTGTTTTGGGGCAGAAAATGGAGTTTGGTGGGAATCTGGTGATGATGAGGTGGGAGGGCTGAAAAAACAGGGCAAATAGACCCAAACTGGAGAAGTCACAACATCCAACAATGCGCAGGTGGATTTACAACCAGGGCAGTAAAATCAGGGCCAACTGACCCAAATTGGAGAAGTCATGATATCCAACAATGTTCAGATGGATTTACAACCAGGGCTGTAAAACCAGAGCAAATAGACCCAGACTGGAGGAGTCACGACATCCAACACTGTGCAGGTGGATTTGTGACGTTACACGACGTTAGAGATGGGGGATGACAAGGGAGGTGATGCTTTAATCTCCCCTTACAAGCTGCTGCAGGCAGCAGGGATGCCGTGCCAAGAGCAACACCGGCAATAAATCTCCTCTGTGTCAGTTTTTTGATGTTCTCCCTTTTGTTTTCGCTGTTGAAATTTCCCACCTTGCTCCTTGTCGGAGGCTCCCGATGGCAGACAGGTCGGAGCACTCGTGCTCCCGGGATGGAGGTGCTGGGGCTGTAATGAGCAGGTAGGCAGCACTTCAAAGGCTACCAAAGGATGTCATGAAGGTGGGGTGTGGGTTCTCCATGCTCGGATTTGGGCTCCGCTCCAAGTTGGAGCATCTCTCAGCTCAAGGGATGGTCCTGTGATAACCATCTCCCCAGATGGTTGACATTAAAAATTATCCTGGCTCTTGGTCAGGGTTTTGTCACAGGATGCTGAAATTTTGGACATTTTCTTGGTGTTGCGGAGGGAGGTTGGATGCCCAAACTCCAGCGATTCGCAGTCCAGGCTTAACCACAGAGGGACGTGCCGGAGCTCCAGCGGGAGCTCTGCTTGCTCAACACCACCACAGAGATAGGACGCAGAAAACTCAACCATTTCATCACCCAAAGATGGTTTATGAGCCCTTTCCACCTAGTTAAGGTTGGATTTTAATTCCAGGTTCAAGCAGAGGAAAACTGGAGGGACGACTTGGTCTCTCACCCAACGCTCTGTTTCAGATCTACCCCCAAAGCTGCCACGTCATTCGACGTCCACGCCACCTCGGCGGTCACGGTCCACATCATCCACAGCCCCACCACAAAGCCCATGATTAACTCCAGGTGGCCCCTGGATCCCGACATAGAGGTCGTGGTGACGATTGATGTCACCAGCAGGACCGTCAATGACAATAAGGTCAGTTGGATTCTTAAGCACTGAAACCAGAAAAATGAGTCCAATTTCCCGGGAAAACAGGGAGGGTTACGGGCAACCTCTAAGCAGTCGAGTCAGTACTAGGTAGTGCTGACATTGGGCTTGTTTTCATGGAAAAAACCCAAAGAGAATTGTGTAATTAGCACGTACCAAGAATGAAACTGAGAAGGAGAAGGAGACTCCATTTTGTGCCCTCCTGATGACACAGTGGCAGTTGCAAAAGCTGGTGCCAGGCAACAAAAATCCTCCAAGCTTGGCTGTTTCCATGCCCGTTTTTGTGCTGAACCAGACAGAAACAGTTCAGGGAACTCTGATTAGTGGAGAAAGGCTTGGGTGAACCCTCCAAGAACTGCTTGTTGGTCAATGCAATGAGCGAGAAGCCCCACTCAGCTTTTTGGGACGTGGGCCATGATGTGGGGGTGTCTTTGCAGGTTAAGATCTCCTACTATGGCCGGGAGGGCAACGAGCTGGCGGTGGCCTGGCTGTACCTCACGTGTGTCGGTAGGTGCTCCACAAACCCGGGCCAGACCTGGCTGATGTCAAGAGCTGGTTGGGTTCGTGGGATGGGAGTTAAGTGGGGGGCGCGGGGAGGAGGTTTGGGTGTTCACCGGTGCTGACGAGCAAGAGGGAAACAATTAAAACATTATTACGCTGCCTTATATGGTGCAAAAGAGAGGGGCTGGGCCGGGTCCCCACCCAGCACACCCCGAGCATCCTCCTCTGCTTGCCAACACCGGGCACTGGGACAAGAGGATCCAAAGGAGATCTCCTCACCCACCTTTGCCCGGCGTCCTCCTCCCCCTCGACCTCCGTCGCAGTTGGGGGAGAGGGACGGGCACCAAAGTGTTGTCTGACCTATTTTAGAAGTTTAGGATGAGATGAATCATTCCCTCCAGATGCCTGTTTTTCCCTGCTGACTACAAAGGGAGTCTAGACAACCAGTCTGGATGCAGAAGCCTTCCACCTGGATGGATTAATTACCCCAAATTTGGGATTTTCTAAAGCACTCACATGACACCTCTGTCCTGAAGTCATGAATGTGCCTCCCAAAATTGGGCCTGAGGAGGCTGAAGGTTTCCCACGTCCCTCAGCTGATGGGCTCCACTGGAGCCATCTGGGGCTACCACGGCCACAGGGCTTTGGCCTTGCAAATGTTCTTCTCATGGTTAGACTTAGACTTTCCTTCCCAACTTCTCCATGTCCTCCTCTCTGCTTAATCCCGGTATTTTCCATATGTGGCATATCCCACTCAGAGGAGGTGTTTTATTAGGGTTTGGGTGAGATTGCTGGTAAACCTCTGCTTTGTAGCAGCAGAGGCAGAAATTTGGGCCAAGAACAGGAGGGAAAGTCCTTCTGAAGTGTTGCATCAAGCCTTGGAATTATTTAGGTGTTCACTCAACCACAGGGAAAACACTTTTTTGTGCCTCCACCATGTTTTGGCTTTGTAAAAAACACAATTGTAAATGTGAAATTGGTGAAAACATAAAATACACCATAAAATGTGAATGTCCCAGCTGGGAACCAAAATGGGAGAAGGCAGCTGGAAATCAAAGGGGGAAAACCATGAAAGAACCATTGGGTTGGATTTTCTACCAGCGTTTTGTTGAAGATGTTGGGTCTGGAGCAGCTTTGGGGTGTGAAGGTGGGGTTGGTGCTGGATGAGCCCAAAATGGAACCAAGAGCTCATTCTCCTGCCCGTGGTTCCTTCTCTTGATGCCTCAGATGTGTCCCTGGACGTGGACTGGAGCCGGAGTGGCAGAGTGAAGAGCAAAGGGAAGGACAAGGTAACGAGGAGCTTTGCTGGAGGGGCAGTCCCGGCCTATCCATTTGTAGTCTCTTCCCTGAAAATCTCCAGGAAGGAGAGGGACTTGGGTGGTGTCTGAATTAGGGCAAATAACCTGGGAAATCCTCAACCTACTAATTGAGGAGGAAGAGACTTTATTTTCTTATTCCATGCCAAAATTTTCTATGTCTCCAGTCCAGCCCTGAGGATCCCCTGAAAAAGCCTCTGCTTTTTCTTCCCTTTCCTTTCTTCTTTCTTTTCCTTTTTGGACTTGAAAGAGGCCACTAAATGAGTTTAGCAAACAGCCAGTGATTTACCCCTTTGGCAACAAATCTGCATATGCCCAAGCCCTTAAGTTGGGCTAATTAAGTGCAGCCCAATCAACGGCGCAAATCGTGTATCGAGAGGGGACGTGTCTCTGGAAACGGTGCAGCCTTGTCCAGAGGAGGCCTGGCAGATACTTTCTGCCTGGCCAGAAGATAAGATCTCTTCCAAATAGTTTTTGCTGGCCCTGCTAGAAGCTGAGGTTCGGAAACTTAGTGCCTTGAAAGCATCACTGGCCTTTGGGTTGTCCTCCAAGCGTGGAGGACAGTGGGCGTTTCCGCAGTTAGTGAGGAGGATGGGATGGGGTGGGGGGAATTTTGCTCCAATCCTCTTTTGGTGCTTCTCCTCCAGGCCAAGTGGACATGGGGTCCGGATGGACACGGTGCTGTGCTGCTGGTCAACTGTGACCGGGACAGCCCCGGCACGGGGGGGCCGGACAGCGGCCAGGCGGACATACGGACCCCCGCAGGTCGGTGTCACCCACGGCCCGAGGGCACCCAAGGGCGCTCACTGGGGCCTTTCCCACTGCAGCACCTCCGTCCCCTCTCTCCATGCTCCCTCTCTCCACCTTTCCCCCCCAGACCTGAAGGACATGTCCATCATGCTGCTGAGGACCCAGGGGCCCAGCGCCACCTTCGCCGAGTACCAGGTGGTCCTGCACGTCTCCGAGACGGACGCGGATAAAGTGCGGGTTTTCCACGCTATCCGTGAGTATTCCTTCCTTCTTCTTTCCCAGATATCTGAACACAACCCCAAGGTGAGCAAACCCTAAATTTTCCATTCATTGGGGCACCTCCATTTGCTGGAAACACTCGTTTATCCCCAAAGATCCTCTGCTGCAGTGGAAAGTGGGGCTACCTGGAAAAAATCAAGGGGGAAAAAAGATCAAAAAAGGCTTTTCCCCACGAGATTGATGAAATTTTGGCATTCCTGTGGACCAGAAAGCCCAACACCCCTTTGGCATGGGCAGTGACCCAAACCCCAGAGCAGCCCATCCCATTCTGCCTTTGAACGCCCCAGCAGCTCCGTCCCCAGCAGGTCCCCACTGAAAATCAGGTCAGGGCAGCCAAGGGTATCATTAGATACTTCACTCGAGCCAAGCACCTTGAAAGGGTTGGACCTGAGGGTACGGAGTCCTCTTTGTCCCAGGAAGATCAAGTGTGTTCCCCAGGGAGGAAGAGGAGGCACTCCTGCTCCCCTCCAACCGCGCGGGCATCGGCCCCGCCGGGGCCTCCTGCCAGCCCAGGGCGGGTTGGTCACCGTGTCCTGGGGGTGTCTTGGTGGTTCTGCAGGGAGTGACTCACACCCCCACTACAAGCCCGTGCTGGGGCCGGACAAGCTCTCCTACGTGCTGGACCCCGTCGGCAGTGGGGAGAACACCTTCTACGTGGAAGGGTTGGCCTTCCCTGACAGGGGCTTCTCGGGCCTGGTTTCCTTCAGTGCCAGCTTGCTGGAGGTCCCCCACAAGGTACGTGAGGTTTGCCCTGTCCCCTGAGCTCCCTCAGTGGCTGGGTTTCCAAGCACTGCTCCTTGCTGGTTCTGCCCCTCACAGAATTCCCCGGGCACCCCGATTTTCACGGATACGGTGGTTTTCCGCGTGGCTCCCTGGATAATGACCCCCAACACCCAACAGCCTTTGGAGGTTTTTGTCTGCAGGTAGGAGGGGTGTCACTCCACTGCTCTCCTGCCTTGGGGGACTCTTCAAGGAGGAGTTTTAGGCCCTTCTTTGTGGTGCAGCAACAATGGGGTGAGCCAGGCTTTGTGCATCCAGTACTGGGAGCGATATTTGGGAATGGAACCCGGTGTCACTGTTATTGCAATGCCAAGGAGAAAGGCTGGAGGCCGCTCTCCAGGTCTGTCCCATGCAGGACTGTTGCCCAGTGTGTTTAGGAGGGAGGAATGGGCTACATGGTTGGGGTTGTGGGAACTTCTCATGGTCCTACTCCTCAGTCCCCCCTCTCCCTCCAGCATCAAGCAGGGCTCAGATTCCAACGAGGCCTTTCTGGAAGGGATCAAGGTCCTGCTGAAGAAAGCCAACTGCAAGCTGACCATCTGCTCAGAGCAGGACACCCGGAGCGACCGCTGGATCCAGGTCATCAATCCGTGCTTGTCCATCAATCCATGCTTGTCCATCAATCCATGCTTGTCCATCAGTCCAGGCTTGTCCATCAATCCATGCTTGTCCATCAGTCCGTGATTGTCCATCAGTCCAGGCTTGTCCATCAATCCAGGCTTGCTCTCCGTGGCTCTTCTGGTCCCTTACAGGCTCTTGGAGCACATAAGGTGTCACTCCCATTGCTGGCACCCCCTGGAGGGACTGGTTGCTTGGGAAGCACTCGGATGCCAGGGATAGACCAGGCAGCTGGGAAATGAAGCCCAGGGAAATGCTGCTGGTGGTGGAAACCAGCACAGGCAGGGATGGGGTCCAGGAACCCTGGAACTGGAAGAGGGACACAATGGGGCATTGGAAGAGGGGCCTCATTGCCAGAGGGACCCCATGGGGCTTTGGAATAGGGTGTCTACTGCAAGAGGGACCCCACTGCAAGAGGAGACCCAATGGGGCATTGCAAATGTGACCCCACTGCAAAAGGGACCCCTTGGGACTTTGGGAAGAAGGACTCCATGGGAGATTCCATGAGGGATCCCGTTGCAGGAGGGGACCTCATGGAGCGTTGCAAGAGGCTCCCCACTGCAAGAGGGATCCCACGGGATTTTGAAGAGGGAACTCATTGCAGGAAGGGCCCCAAGGGATACTGCAAGGGGGACCCCACTGCAAAAGAGACCCTGTGGGACTTTCAGAGGGGGTTCCCATTGCAAGAGACACCCCGTGGGGCTCTGCCAGAGGGATCCCACTGAGAGGGATCCCATGGGAGCATTGCAAGAGGGTTCCTGTTGCAAAAGGGACCTCGAGGGGCATTGCAAGAGGGACCCCATCACAAAAAGGACCCCGTGGGGCATTGCAAGAGGGTCTCTGCTGCAAGAGGATCCCTACAGGACATTGCCAGAGGGGCCCTGATGCCAGAGGGACCCCATGGGACATTCCATGAGGAACCACATTGCAAAAGAGACCCCATGAAATATTACAAGAGGGTTCCCTCTGCCCAAGGGACCCCCTGGAGCTTTGGAAGAGGGTCTCCACTGTGAGAGGGACCCCACTGCAAAAGGGATCCCTTGGGGCTGTACAAGAGGGTCTCCCCTGCAGGAAGGCCCCCCTGTGCCCCCCCAGGAGGACAGGGGGTGGCTGGTGGGCAGTGCCCTCCCTGTCCCTCATCCCTGCCCCTCTTCCTGCCTGTCGTGGGCCCGTGTTGTTCCCGGGGGTGTCCCGTGCTGGGTGGGGTGTCACCCCTGGACAGGCAGTTGTGGTTCAGGGCGAGAGCTGAGCTGTGCTAGGCTCACCCCATTTCCTGCTCCACCCTCCCCACATCCCTGGGGAGATGCCTATCACCCTGCCCGGAGCCTTCCTCCTCTTCCTCCTCCTCCTCTTCTTCCCCCCGCAGGATGAGCTGGAGTTTGGCTACGTGGAAGCGCCACACAAGACCTTCCCCGTGGTCTTTGACTCTCCCAGGAACAGAGGATTGAAGGATTTTGCCTTTAAGAAGATCCTGGTGCGTCGTTGCAGCTGAAGCCCCTTTTCTCCCCCCAAAATTCCCCCTATGGAGGGTCCTTGGCACCACTTCCCTCCTCCTCTTCCCCAGGGCCCTGATTTTGGCTACGTGACCCGTGAACCCCCCGGGAAAAACATCACCAGCCTGGACTCCTTCGGCAACCTGGACGTCAGTCCCCCGGTGACGGTGCGAGGGAAGGAGTATCCCTTGGGAAGGATCCTGATCGGCAGCCCCCTGCCTTGGTGAGGAGCTGGGGGGCTCCAGCCCTCCCTCTGGAATGTGGGCAAGCACCGAAAATCCTTGCCTGGGAAAAGGGACGCCCCTCACGGAGGAAACTTGGAGTCAAAATGAGAATCAGGAGCCAATTGCCACCAAATCCCAGACTTGACATGGGAACCACGTCGCTGTCCCTTCATCCCTCACAGAACCCTGCCCCCTTCCCAGGCCTGGGGTGTTTGCTCCCATCCTGGACACATCCAGGCTTGGCATTTTTTTCCTGACTTATTAAAAAGAGGAGCAGGGAAGTCTAGGAAAGGGTCAAATCCCGAAGAACTGGCAGTGGCTTTGCTCGGGCAGGCGGTGCCTGGTGCCGCGGGAGCAGCAGCGAGCCCTCCCTCCGCAGGGAGGGGATTCCCGGGACAAACAGCCACAGGAGCCATCCCGGCTGGGGCTGGGCCGGAATAACCAACGGGATGCTCCCACTGCTCCCGCGGGTCCGGCAGCAGGGAAACGGCATTTCCCAGCCTCTCTAGGCCCGTAATTATCCCTCATTAGCAGGGGGTTAATTAATGTTTTCCCAGCCTGTTGCCGTCTGTCTAAGAAAACTTCGCCCCCGCACAAAGCGCTGCCGGAGGAGGGATTTGGGAATCACAGGGATGGGAAAAAGGAAACCCAAAGGAGCCCAAGAACAGGGCATGGAATGCACCCACTACCTATAAATACATATGGCCTAGATATATTTGTATATATAATTGAGGGATATATTAATATACTTATGCATTATATAAGGATGTATTAATATATTTATATATTGTATT